TATTTGGGCTCCATTTTAATGAGAATTTAAGGAAATTTCTATTTAGAAATAGTAATTTTTTGAAGAATGTATAGTTAAAAAATAAGAAAAATTTTGGATTTACGTGTAATATTATTTTACGTAGAATGTGCGGTTGAAAGTGAATTTCGATAAAAATGGAGTCCAAACATGGGCTTAGTGAGATAGATAGTGCATGGTGGTTCGTTCCATTTTAGTCTGATTTGCTTCTTTTGCTAATTCCTTATATAATATGGACGGGACAAATTTTATTCCTTCGTTTTTATCTCACTTGCAGTTTGGGGCATTGCTTTATTATGAAAGTTTGTCTTTTTCATATAGAAGAAAACAAGTCTCCATATGATTTTGCTAAAAATCAAATTGTCAATAAATTTGATAAAAATTAATGAAATGTGTAATTGAATAGTTGATATAAATTATGAATATTATAAAGTATACGATAAAAAATGTTGACCTCTAATCGATATAAACAAATTCCTTTTCAGTTTCCAAACTCACTGAACGCTACCCAAAATAAGAGTTTGGGAGGGAAATGACTATTTGATGAGACATATTTATAAATTTCTGATGAGGCCATGATGGTAATTTAGACCATGTATAGTTGAAAATGAATTTGGAAAAAAATGAAGGTCAAACAGGGGCTCAGTGAGATAGATGGTGGATGGTGGATCATTCTATTTTTGTCCAATTTGCTTCTTTTGCTAATTCCCTGTTGAATATGGATGGGAAGAATTGCATTCCTTCATTTTTATCTCACTTGAAGTTTGGGGCATTGCTTTATTATGAAAGTTTGTCTTTTTCATTCCGAAGAAAACAAGTCTTCGTATGATTTTGCTAAAAATCATATTGTTAGTAGATTTGATAAAAATTAATGAAATGTGTAATTAAAAAGTTGATATAAATTATGAACCTTATAAAATATATGATTGAAAATATTGACTTCAAAATCGATATAAACAAAATTCCTTTCCAGTTTCAAAAGTCGGTGATCATTACCCAAAGTACGAGTCTGGGAGGAAAATGACGACTTTTTTTAGACATTTATAAATTTCTAATTAGGCCATGATGGTAATTAAGACCTTGTTTGATCCCACTTTTTTCAAAATATATTTTTCCCTCACTTCTTTTCAACCGCACATTTTTCAATTAAGTAATATTATACACAACTCAAAAAAAAAAAATTTCTTCATTTTTAATCAATCTATTTAAAAATCCATTCCACACAAAAAAAAAAGGGGCTCAAACATGCCCTAAATCTTTTTCTTAAATGACGTGATAGTTATTAGTGATCTTTAACTGAATTTGTTATCTTTTCTATTTTTATTCACCATTTCACACGTTCTTCAGTAATTTTTCACTCACTCCTCGCGTGCTTGTCATTTGTATACAAATCGAACATATAGTTTCGTATTATAAATACTCGCGACAGTGGCCTAGATTGGCACATGATCTGAATTTCTTAGTGATGCTCGCTAACAATGACAAAAGTTCGCACAGGACTAGCTCAAGTTAGTATCACAAATCATAGTCGAATTAATTGATAACAGGAAATGAGTT